GAGTGTGTGTGTGTGTGTGTGTGTGTCCAGTTCTCCACTTAGTACCTTTGGGCTACTTAAATGTTCTAAACAACAGTTTCTTCACCTCTAAAAACTAGTGACTTGTGAGCTAACTGATCTCTGTGATTCCTTCCAGCTGCATCTTTATACGTTGAATGCAGGAGGTTTTCGGAGGTTGGCTGAGTGAAACAGAAGAGAGCCAACAGTGCAAGTAGTCCTCAGAGAAGGCATTCCTGATGGAGGGATGGGCTTTGACCTTAGAGAAGGCTCCCAACTTTGAAGAGTTTCTCGATGTCCTTCTCCATGTGTGTTAAACCCTTTCGCTCACTCTCCAGGTTTGAAAATGCATTTCCTGCTGAAACTGACCTGAGCCCGGGACCAGAGTGACCACTCTTGGTGTCTTTCTCCCTGACACACGGATGACTGATTTCTAGGTAAGGCTGTGCCATCTTTTGGTTCTTGTCTTACATGACAAACACATTTGTGTCAGGGAGCTGGGGAATGGTGCAGTCAGGGGCTGCATTTCAGGGGAAATGGACTTGAACGAGCCTCCAGTGCTTGCTGGGAACCGACCGCCTGACCCGGCCCTGGGGCCATGGAGGTGAGCAGCCTCCGAGGACAGTGTGGAGGCAGAAAGGTCCACAGGTGCCCGGAACCTGATGTGTGAAGTGTACACAGGAGCACCAGCAATGCTTGTGGAGCAGGGTGGAGAGGACGGAGAGTCAAAAAGCTTTAAATGCACTCACTTAGTGCCTTTGACGAGCTTACTGCTTCTGTTTAAACCTTGCAACGATCTGGGGAGGTAGGTATTTCCTCTCACTGTGCTCAGAGACATGGAGGACCTGCCTCAACATCACACAGCTAGGAAGGACAGCAAGGAAGCAGGAGCTCTCTCTGGCCAGAGTTGGAGGTCACCACACATGGCACTGCAGGGTCTCAGGGTATCTGGGACAGGACTCACCTTTCTTCAACAAAAGGAATAGGAAACTTGTAGTGTGAACAGAAAGCTACACAAACATGACAACTACCTCATGGACACACTTCCCACATTTGTGTGTCCTCTTCTACAATGTGTTGCCACAGCAGTGGGCAGCATCTGACCTATTGCTGGCTGTGTCCTCAAGGCCAGGAAGTGTTTGTCCTTCTCTCTTGGGTGGGGATGCTGACAGCCAGTGGCATGGTGGTGGCTGACTGGGGCTGGAGGGACTTGCTGTGGGGGCAGAGGGCTCCTGAGATGGATCAGTAACACGGGGGGAGGCTGGTTTGCGAAGTGCCCCTCTGTCTCTGGGGCCAAGAGGTGAATCCCTGACCTGTGGATGGAGGGGAAAGGGCAGCCAGAGCATCTTATTTCTGCTAAGGGCCTCCAGTCCAGGGCAGATGCACGCTACACAGAGGGAGTAAGTGGCCCTGGTTCCCCTGGGCTGAAGTGGCTTTGGAGAAGTCTGCTTTGTCCCCGCCTAGTCCCTTATACCTGGAGCAGTCCCTACACACAGTGTGTGCTCAGTGACTCCTGGTGTGGGCCTGGGATGTCTCTGGCCTGGAAGTCAGAAAACCTAAGTTTCAGTCCTACCTGTAGTTACTTGCAGAAAAATCATGACCTTCCCCACACCTGACCTTCTTATCTTCAAAGGGACTGGAGTGTCAGTGCCCACAGGATGGCCATCTCACGAAGACTGGCAGAGTCTGCAGCCAGGCGGGCAGGTGCCCCACAGCCAGTGGCTCTGCCAGGTTGGTGGGTGGGGACAATTTCCTGAGCATCTCACAGACAGAGACATTCATCTCCTTCCTCCCTGGAGGACCCGGCATGGGCACTCAGGATGCGGGGCACCTGCCCTCTTGGAAGGTTCTGCAAGAAGGAGGGTCCGGAGCAGAAGATTGAGTACCTTTGCAGTCGGCTTCCTGAGGTACAGCCCTCCTCCGCAGCTGCTAGCGAGACATCTCTGCCAACTGTCCGGATGCGGGAAGGGATGAGTCAGTCATGAGTGTCATGGACTGCTACCTGGGAGGGTGAGACAGGGAGGAGACTCAGGGGGAGAAGGCAGAGGCTTTAGAGTCCCAGGGGCCTGAGAGCCCTTCTGACAGCAGTGGGACTTAAGCAAAGTATCAAACTGCTGGGAGCCTGGGCTTCCTTATTTGTTAGTGGCCGTAAATGTATCTTCCCCACAGGGGGTTGCGAGAACTGAACAGAGTGAGTGCAGAGACCGTGGCACGGTGCCTGGCACTTAGTAAATGCAGAATAAAAACAGTGATGACTCAGGTTTGGACTGTCACCGGGGCAGAAGGTCCGAATGGAGAGCCTTGGACCAAGTGGTGAGGGGAGCAGCTGAGCATCTGGTCCCCATTCCCTTCTCCTGGGGCTCACCCCCCTTACATGTCCGAGACTCTCCTTCCTCCTTCCTCCCTTTAAAAGTGGCTGTCAGGGACTCACACCTGTGATGGAGGACCATAAGCCGAAGGGATGGGCACTCCATTCTAATGTTAAAGGAGAGAACATTTCCCCCAATCCTTCCGACTACCTCCAAGACTGCGGGCGGCACCTGGGGTTTGGAGACGTGGACTCTGAGGCTGAGACAGGTTCATGAGGGGAGGTCGCACAGCGAGACAGGTAGGGCTGCGACCGCAGACAGGCACGTTGCTGTCCTGGCAGCCCCATGCTGGGCCCTGGGTCAGAAACAGAGCTGTGTCGTCCCGGGTCCTTCACCGTCTGCTGGGACAATGCACTGTGTCCTGCAGGGAAGATCCCACGGGAGCTACGGCTGAAGGAAGGAGAGGTCCAGAGGACCCAGAGTAGGAAAATCCCCAACAAAGAACAGCTAGGCGTTTACAACCTGCTGAGCCTGGGGGATTTCATTACAGGTTGACATGTCTCATCTTCACGACTCTCCTATGAAATAGGTTCTATTATCATGACCACTTTACAGCTAAGGAAACTGAAGCACAGAGAGGTGAAGTAACTTGCCCAAGATGCACAGTTAGGGAGCAGCAGAGCCATGATTCCAGACCCAGGCCGCTGGGTCCCAGAGGGGGCATATTTGACTGTCTCATTTGCCTGCCTCTTACAAGTTTAGACCAGGACAGTCATGGAGATTCTTACTGGGGACTCCGAAATGGTACCTTAGCTGGGAGGCAAGTCAGTCTAGGAGTGGAGCACGGGAGGCTGTGCTTGAGAACGAGGGCAGATGGGTATGAGGGGCTGGGACTCAGAGCAGCTTAGAGCGCCTTGACTTCCATCCCAGCATCTCTGGTTGTAGCGCTGCCTCCTTTTGCATCAGGAGGACAAGGGGCTGCTGTGGGGACCATGGGGAAGATTCAGCCCCAGCCTGCTGGCCAGAGGAGTGGTGTGCCACTGGCTTAGTCCTTCAACAAACATGTCTGGTGCCCCCACACCTGCCCCAATACACCAGGTGTGGAGGACCCTCCCCAACAAAACAAAACTCTAACCCTGCCTGTGGGATGCTCATGGTCTGATGAAGACAGAATTGCAGCTGTGCCTGAGGGCTGACCAGCGCTGGGGGGCACACGGAGCAGTGACCACCCTTGCTGGGGAAGTCCTGGCAGGCTATCCAGGGAAGGTGACATTGAGGCTAGGACTTGTGGTGGGGGGTTTAGGGGGACAGGCAGAACAGACTGAGACTCGGGAATCCTTGGCCTGCTGGGGTACATTTACTTCACACGCTGGGGAAATCTGAAAACGGCCAGGGGAGGGTTTGTGCGGTGCGCGGCGGAGAGGGGCAGAGGACATCGGCAGCCACGTGCGTCCAGGGGCCCCTCCCAGCGAGGGGACAGGCTGGCCGCGCTCCCTCATCCACAGACAGGCACAGCCGGTTTACGGACGAAGAGAATGACAACCCGGCGACAAGTCGGGATGACAAAGACGCCCTGAAGGGCACGCGCTTTTATGTAATCGACCTCGGCACGGCATCGAGGGTCTCGGGGTGGCGCTCAGAGCCAGCGGGCGCCAAGGACGGCCGGCGCGCCCGCCTCACTCCCTTGCAAATAGGAGGGGACAACAAAGCGAAATAAGTTAGGGACGTCCTGGAAGCCTTACAGAGCAGGACGGCTCGCCCCGTCGCCTTTCCCCGAAGCCCACAGGAGCGAGTCCGGGCTCCCCTCCCTGTCCTCTCTCCGGTCCCAGCCTCTGCCCCGGTGGCCGAGTGCGCAGCCCTCCTCCCGGGAACGCTCGCTGGGTGACCTTGGGCGAGCCGCTTGACCTTTCTGGGCTCCAGCGTCCCAGTCTCGGTGCCTGGCGAGGCTGTCACTGCACCCTGCGGCTCCCCACGCGCCCCAGGGCTGGAGGAGAGCGAGGCCGGCGGGCGGGGCCGGGACCGCCGGCCGCGCAGCCCGGAGCGGCCCCTGGAGGCGGCGGCAGCGGCGGGGCGCGGGCGCAGCGCGCAGGCGCGGCGGGGGCCGGCCGGGCGGGGCGCGCGCGCGGGGCGGGGCGCGCGGCGGGCAGAGCTCGGGGCGCGCGGCGTGCAGGGGGCGGGCGCGGGCGCGGGGCGGCGCCGGCTGGCTGGGCTCGCCGACTGCCTGAGGCTCGCCGAGCGCCGCCCGAGCGCGCCCGCTGCTCTCGGCCCGCTGCCCTCGGCCCGCTGCGGGAGCGCTCGCGGCCACCCCGGGCCCGTGCCCGTCGCGTGCCGCCGCCGCCCGGCCGCCCGCCCGGCTTGGCTCCGCCGCGGGGTCTGGCCCGGGGTCCGCGCCGCTGGGGCGCGGGCGAGGTCGGGGGCTGCGGGGCCGCCGCCGCCGCCGCCGCCCGCCCGCCTCGAGTCCGCGCGCGGGGCTCGGGCGGCCGGCGAGCATGGAGGAGAAGTACTTGCCGGAGCTGATGGCGGAGAAAGACTCCCTGGACCCCTCCTTCACGCACGCTCTGCGGCTGGTGAACCAAGGTGCGCGCGCCGGCCGCCAACTGTCTCTCGGGGCCCTTGGGGACCCGGGCAGCGGCGGGGCCGGGGGCTGGGGACCGGGGAGGGTCGGGGCCGGGGAGCAGTGCGGGCGCCTGGGACGCGGGACGGCGGGGCTGGCTGGAAAGAGACCTCTGGGAGACTGGAGGGGACCCAGGGCGCAATCTGGGGGCGTTCGGGTGGGGACCTGGGGACATGTGGGACACCTGGGCGAAGCCCGGGATGCGCCTTTGGGGGACTTGGGAAGGAAGGAGGCAGCCGGGGCGTTTGGATGAGACTTGAAGGAAATCTTTGGGGACACGAGGATACCCAGGGGAAACTTCTGGGTGGGGGACAGCGAAGATCTGGGGGCTTGGTTGGAGCGGGGGTTGAATTATCTCATTGGAGGGGAGAGTGGGGCGACTCGGAGGACTGGTGTGTTCGGTTTGTCTAAGAAACTGGAGAAAGAGCTGGAGGAAAATGGAAGGATTTGAGGGGATCAAAGGCAGAAGAGGTGAAGGGAACAGGTGCTTGGATAGTTAGTGAAGTTCGAGGACCTTGGAGGAGGTTTGGGGTCAGACCCCAAGCATCTGGAGGAGAAGGACCCAGCGATCCTAATGGCAGAGCTCAGTTCCCTCTCCCATCCCTCTTTTTAATTTTTCCCTTGTCCAGGCTCTAGCCGCCCTGGCAGGGCAGTCTGCCCTCCCTGGGGGTGGGCAACTCGTGCCAAGCTGTGCGGGCTGGCCCGTGGAGGGGTCAGTGGGGTAGAAGAGGCCCACAGGAGGGCCCCCTTCTGGGCTTGCTCTGGGCGGGTCACCATCCTTGGGTGCTGGCTCCGGGTTCAGAACACTGGCCGCGGAGTCTTTGCTGCCTGTGCCATTTTAGTCTTACTTCAGCCAGCTCAGGGTGTGAACAGTCCTGGGGAGCACAGGACGCACGGATACAGGGGCGTATGGAGGCGTGCCCACCCAGGACACTAATGCCTGTTTTGTGCCTCTTCCGGCTTCCTGAGTAATCTTCTGGGATGGAAGGTAAATTAAGCGTGCCTTGCCCGGAGCAGCCCTCTATTCCTCCTGTATCTGGAATACATGTTTCCGATAAAGAGGAGTTTGGGGGCCACTGGTCTGCTTTTTTCCTGCCTGATGGTAGGAATATTATCTGGTCAGATCTGTTACATTTTGCGTGAATTACTCTCTGCAATGACAGTCTGTGGTTGGGGAGGTAAATCGGGTCTGCTGATCTGAACGCTGGCCCTGGCTCTTTTATTGTTGGAAGTGAAAGATGAGGCAGACATATTCTATTTGTATATAGATATCTATATTTTAAACAGTGGCCTCTGCTATTTGCCTATTGCAACCAGTTCTTCAGAGTAGGATGTGTGTGTTGTCGGTTGATGATGGTGGTGGAGAGCTTCACTTTCTCCAAGAATTTAAGCCTGATATGTGAATCGTTGAGCAGAAATCGGTTTACAGAGCTTTCCCGTTTTAATTGCAGGCGTACTTTTATTTCTTTAATAAAATGGGCTTGTGAAAAAGTAATGGGCATGCATTCTGAAATGAGAGAAAAAGAATTTTAAGTTTTATTCCCATGCTCTTCTCAACAGTTCTGCAGTTAGGTTTGTACTCCGTGGTTTTTATGATTTACATATATCTTTTGTTGCCTGCTGGGCTGTCATCTCTGTGAAAGAAATTTCCTTGTACATTGTGCGAGATCAGTGGCATTGGAAATACTCTGGATGGTGGAATCAAGTACGTTTTTCTTAATGAAGAAGCTGAACCAAAGTTATGTTGTACTCAATTAAGAAACAGTTTAACTAAAAGTGTAATGAGTTATTTTAAAAGTCAGAATTATTGCTCTGTGCCGTGTTACCATAGTATTGTGTTGCTAATACATTCAAAATATCTTTTGGTTTCAGTGTTTTTACTAGTGTTAATGGCTTCCAGTTACTTGAAACAGATATTGGACAATGTTGCCAGTTAGTATTCTTTTGAATGTTACACCTGATTACCTTACTTTTCCAACACTAATATAATTCTTGTGAGAAGTACGTTTCTCATGTTGTGAGGGAAGAAAGAGGTGCTGCTCAGATGCTCTTATTACTGTTAATTTAGATTACCTTGACTAAATGTTTTTCCCTTAAATCATAGGCTGATATCCAGAATGCAAAGCCCTATCATTTAAAATATTAATTAGGCTCGCTTATGTAACTCTAAAATTATAAGTGCATTTCTAAAACAGTATCTTAAATCTGAATTTGAATGCTTCTTAGGAAGCTGTGATTTTAAATGTGATAACTATCTTGTTATTGGCTATAGGGACGCATTTTTATTCATATTTAGCTATATTTTTGACTACTTGCCTCTAAAGGAAACTCTTTTTTCAGAGGTTATTCTGGACCTCTGGTATTGGTATTCCGGCACTAACTTGGACAGTGATGGTGGGTCAGCAGTGCAAACCTTTATTCTGGAGTGGCATGTAATAGATGTATTTATGGTTAACATCTCCCAGTGCTAACTATACCTTGTGTTTGCGTAGTGTTTTAAAGTTTCCGAGGCTCTTTAAGGCACATGCCGTCAGTTCCATTCTCGCCCCTGTGAGGCAGACATTGATGTCTCCATTTTTCAGGGGAGAGAGCTGAGGACCCCAGCTGTGCAAGCTTGTAGGCAACTGATACAGATTTAATCTGAACTCAGGTCTTCCATCTCTTAAGGCTATTGTTCTTGCTACTTATGCCTTCCAGAAAAAATGGAACAGAACACTTTGCACATGGTAATTTAAAGCCCTGCAGAAATTAATATAATTAATATGCTTGTTTTTGGTTGACTTAGCTTGATTTTCTGAAAAAGTTTCTTTCTGTACTTGTCTAGTGGTCTTTGAAGATGCAACTTCATGGTAGGTTTACCCTACAGGATTTTAATGTTCAGGCTGAGAGGTACTTTTGAACTAAAACTCTCCTGTGACCAATGTATTACTTTAAGAATCAACACATTAGGATAATGAAATAGTTTATAAATGAGGTGTCGTCATTTTCAAAAAATTCTGTATTTGCAAACATTGATCAGCTTCCTAGCTGAATTACTTTTTTTCTAATAATCTTTAAGTGAGAAGTTGAGCTGGGATGACATCGAGATCTATGCTCGTGTGCTGACGTAGGTCGACTTTTATACTTTTCCAGGCTTGTGTTTTGTGAGGGGCATCACTTGCTGACTTTTCTTTTTGTTTTCTCAGGATAACTGGCTCTCCTTCCTCCCACCCCCCAAATATTGAATGTTTTTGTTTCTCTACCAAGAGTAACGGGTAATGTTTACTCGATGTTAAAACTGAATCAAAGAAACTAGCCTTTGTTGTTCCCCCCTGCCCCACCCCCGACACACAAGTGTCTGTAGAGTGAATTGACGTTGCGGTTTCTTGCCAAGGAGGTTAATTGGAGATGAAAGTAGCGTTTCATGTTTTATATTATATTTGCTAGTAGAGAATGTGCTGACTCTTACTAAAAAATATCTTCAGAAATGTCTCATGCATTATAATTTAATCCAGCTCTCTGGGATTGCTTTGCATGGTTTTCAGTCCAAGCCAAGTAACCATTAAATAAGATTACATAACCCCGTATTTTTAATTATCTGATATAATATATGGGTTGGTGGCGGGTTCACTGCCAAGTTATATTTAGTAGTTGGTTACAAGAGGAAGTGGAGTAAAGGACTCAAGATTAAGGTGGTTGGTTTGTGTCCAGGTAAAGTTTTCTGTTGGTATTTAAAGATAATTATTTTTCATATCACATCAGGTTTTGTACTCTCAGGGCTCTTAGCGTTGCCCAGGATGTGTGTGAGAGGTGAACATGTATAAAGCGAGATCATTACTTTGCCCTGTGTACATCTCTTTGTTCTACAGAACCCAACCTGATGGCTTAAAGCTTCGTTTTTGGGGACCCCTTTTGGAAAACATGTTCGATCGGTTGAATGTTGTCAGACGTGTGAAGTAAGACAGAGGGAGGAGAATGGAAATTGCAGAATTATATTTAGGTGTGGTGCTTCCATGCCACACTGCTCGATTCTCTGCTTCATCCGGGGGTGGGGGGGGATGCGGTTATTTAGTTTTTAATAGTTTTTCCTGGGGTGGTCATTTTTGTTTTTTGTGGCAAAGTAGATGCAGTGATTCACGTTTTTAGATAAACTATTTCTGAATTTTCCGTAGTGTGTGATATTCACAGTGATCCACTGATTGTGAGTTGCAGTGTCTGGGCCTCTGGACCTTAGTAACGTGGTTCCCGAGATCCTCCTGTGCCACGTGTTTGTGCTGGTCCTGGAGGGAGGGGGAGGCACGGTCTCTGCTCTCCAGGAACCCGTGCGCTGGTTTGCATTCGTTAGTGTGAGAGTGAGCTGCAAGTTTACAGGTGCCCTCTTCTTTCCTGACGAATGTCCTATTAGCCCTCCCATTGTCCTTTTGAAATAGGTCGTGACTAGGTGGCTTAGATGTAACAAGTCGCCTGCGGACACTTCAAGGCGCTTCTCTGTGCCCGGTCATCTCTGTGGTCTCAAGGCTGGGAGCGGCCCGCGAGCGAGGAGGTTGTTAGCCCAGCTGGTCAGTTGCAGAAGCCGAGACTCCAGCAACTGAAGTGACTTCCTGGGGTGATGTACTTATGATGTGTCTGAGTGAGGGCTCAGGCTTTGTTCTTGGCCAGGTCGTTCTTTTACTGGACTGCGCTGACCTCAGAGTATAGCTGGTCCCGTTACAGGTCACACGTGATGGTCAGTCAGTTAAAGACAGGAGGAGGGTGAAACCTGGTCTCTACATGCAGTTTGTCCTTCTCTTTCGAGCTTGTGCTGGGATCGAAAGATAAGTGATGTCCCATCCCTTTTGTACTTCATCCTTCAGATCTCTCTCTGGGGTGTCTCCTGACCACTTACCTCCCCGAGACGGGTTCGATTGCCCGTTTTCTGCTCTTCCACAGCGGCCGTGCTTCACTCTCTGACGGCATGCTCCTCATCTCACTGTGCTATTTGGATCTCTGTTCCCAGGGAGAGCATGAGCTTCTTGGGGGCAAGGCCTGGTCTGACATTGCTTTGTGTCTTCACGTCCCGTGATTCTTGGTACATAGCCCTTGCAAACTCTAGTCTTTGTTTCAGTGTTGTGTTTTAATTACCATAAAGGTGGGAGAATTAGAAAGTGTATTGGAGTTCAGCAGTCAGTGAAGAGCTTTGCCCTTTACCGCGTTGGAGCACCTGAATTGGGGGTGGGGATAACAGCTTTGCACACGTAAGTGAAAGAAGGTTCCAGTGAAATGCGGTGTTGGACACGCAGGAGCACATCCGAGCTCCTTAAGTGTGGTAGAGCCGTAGGGGTGCTCCTCTGGGAGGGAATGAGAAAATGTTATCAGATCTGCTTTGAATCAGATGCTTATTTACTTTTATTCTTTCCTGAGGAATTTATTAAGCCAGGGCACTCTAATGCAGTTAGCTCTCCTTCCCTAAAGTCCTCATGAGATTTCTTAGGACTGATTAAAACCAGAAATTGGAGGCCCTTGTCACATGCCAAATCAGCCTTCTCACCTGGAGGGGTTAATCTGCCATCTCAGACGCCAGGCAGACACTGAGCCAGAGAGCGACTCGGATCGCAGATGGAAGCCCAGCAGCAACTTGGACATCACAAGACCCTTTTGCTTGTCGTCATTCCCACTGAGTGAAGATAGAAGGTTTACATTTTTTACCAAAAAAAACAAAAAGAAGTAGAGTGTTCCTTAGCGTTGGGGATAATGGTTATACTAAAAGCTGCCAAACTGAGGGCCTCTTCTGTGCCAGGTGCTTCCTATGCATTATTTCTGATCCCCACAGGATCCTGCAGGCTCAGTGGCTTTGTCCCCTGTCTGCCTCCTTTGTGTCTTCACACACAAAGTGCACCACCCAGTCGAGGTGCGCGGCTCCTGAGTCGTCAGGCGGAGACGTTAAATCAAGTGTGCCGCGTCTGGATAGGGTACTTTCAGAGAAGAGATGCGAGGACGGAGCTGGACAGTGTTGTTTAAGTAAAAGTTTCA